TTAGGATTTCTATTATTGTGGCTCGGAATGTTATAGTTTGTATTATTTGAACGGAATATTTCCTGTACGTCATTGTAAGTTCTAATATTTTTATCGGCGATTACGGCTAACTGCATTGCCTGCTCAAGGGTGGAAGGATTTTTAGTTTTTACTTCAAATTTTAATTGATCACTTAAACCGTTTATGTAACTAACTAAAGCTTGTTCTTTTATATTTTCTCGTAATATTAGTACTTCATTTCGTGGTTTATCTACGGCCATTGTATTACATAGTTTTTGAAATATTTCTTCTACGCGGTTATTATATGAACAAATTGTTTCATTATTTTTTWTTTTTATAATATTTAATTCTATTTGTAAATTTGCAGCTCCATATGGGGTTTCGAATGCATCTAGTAATAACTTTTTCATATCTCCCCATTCCTTTATTTCCCGATACCTTGTTACGTTAAAATACCTATCTGTTAATTTGGAAGCCGCTATCATTTTTAATATAAAAGGATGTTGTTCCGCATCCACTGTATTTATTATTACCTCACATGCACTTAAAAATGGGTATATCTCAGTTTGTCCTGAATAGGYGGGAATTAATTTAATTGCGTCGATGGCGCTTAAAGATTTCATAACTTCACTGTTTCCTGTCATTTTCTTTTTTACTATTCTTTTTGTTGGTATATATTCAGTATGAATGGTATTTTTATTACTACGTAGACCTGTACGAGTTGCGCTAGTAGTAGGACTATTTTCAAATGCTTCTAAATTAATTAGTCTTAAACTTTTATTTAACAATCCACTAGTTATTGGGTCGTTTTTTATTTCTTTATTTTCACCTTCACTAAATATTTCCGCGGTAATAACGTCTAAATTTTCTACTAAATTAGTTAATTCTAGATCATCAACTTTTTCATTATTATTTTCATTTGCTACTAATTCTATGCTATTATCGTTTTCAATTATTTCAATTATTCTATCTAGCGTTTCCCTAGCTATTGCTTCGAATTCATCGGGATTCGTGCTCATTAATATCTATTTATTATTTACTAAAAAAAAATATTATTATTATTATTTTTTTATTTTATCTTTTACTAATATCTATCTCATATACTTAATTATAATTGTACTTATTTATTTGTTATTTGATTTATTACTTATCCTTATTTATCTAATAATATAATATCTACACCTATATATAAAATTTATATATATATAAGATATATTATAA